ACCCTCCTCCTCTGGGTGGGTCCTGCCTGTGCCGGGCTTCTTCTAGCATCTGATCTTTTCTCCGTCCTCTGCTGCTTCTGCAGCGACTTTAGGTCGGCCTTCGGGATATTCTACTCGAACGCCGCACACCAGGATCCCTGTGCCCTGTATTTCTCGTTACGGGGCGTGCAATAGGGCCCTGGACATGGTATACCGCACTTCTTGCAGTGCGGTTTGTATGGTGCAGGGCACTCTCGGCCCTTGTGCCCCTCCCTCCTACAATTCCAGCACGGTCGTGCTGGAACGGGGATCCTCCTTGTCTCCCGTTGGGGTTCTGCAACCCTGGGGGTGGAGTCGACGAGAGGTAACGCTTGATTCATCCTCTCGCCTTCCGAGGCCTTATGTTTGGTGTTTTTCACCCCAACTGCCTCTGCGGTGCCTCCTCCTCCGTGCTGAAGCACTGGTATGAGAAACAATGGTGCCTGATGAATAGCCACCAGATACCAGACACCAGACGTCATACACAATATTGCTTCCCATACACCAAATGGCTTCAAGCCACCATTCACCAGACACCAGCCACCAGGCACAATAGTACTTTCCATATATCAAAATGGTTCGAGACACCATCCACCAAACACCAGGCACAGGGTACCATTCACCTTCCACCAAGCACCAGACATCAGACACAATATTGCTTCTCATACACCAAAATGCTTCCAGACACCAGCTACTAAATACCATCCACCGGCCACAACATTACATCCCATCCATCAAAATCTTTCGAGACACCGGCCTCCAGGCACAAGACACATGACACCAGACGCAATATTGCTTCCCATACACCAAAATGCTTTGAGACACCATGAACCAAACATCAGCCACCAGGCATCATCCGCCATCCATCATCCACCATCCACCATGACCCCCAGAACATTCTCATAGATTAAAATGCTTCGAAACACCATTCACTAGATACCATCCACCAGACACCAGACACAACATTGTTTCCCATACATCAAAATGCTTCGAGACACCACTCACCATACACCAGCCACCATCCGCCAGACGGCAGACACAACATTACTTCCCATATACCAAAAAGCTTCGAGACATCAGACACCAGGCACCCAGGGGGTGCGCATATATACACCCGAAAGTTATCGGAGTATTCCACGAAGATTCGGACTCCATCCGGCGATGATCCGGTCTCGATCCCATGATGGTCCGGTGAGCGGTCAGACAGATATTCGATACAAAATCAATTTAATTAATGAAGGTCCAAAATAATAATGGAATGACTCTCGCCTCGCCAATAAAGTAACTTTGCGTCTGGAAAATCCCGACAACCGCTGAACGGTTGAAATCTCTAAAATACCACGTCACAATATACAATTCCAGCCTCTCGAAGTTCTTCAACAAATGAAATTATTTCGTTATCATAACTACGATTCCCTGCTTCCTGTGAAGCTACTAGTAATCGAAGACGGTCCAGAAGTTCATTCGCATGATCCCAATAAATATAATCCACTGTGTTGGGTAACCGAACCCTCATGATGATAGGTAGAAGCCCCGCGCCAGTGTACCTGGACCCGGCACATTGTGAAATATATTTCTCATATTTCTCACCCTTCAATTCTCGGATGCCTCCACGAGGATTATAATTTTTTTGATGTCCATTAGTCGAAAGTAGAATATTTTTATACGCATCAATGTCACACTCACTGATCACAGGGTCATCAGGATTTTTCACGAAGAGGAACTCCACTAATCCCTCAGTACTAGCGTATTTCATGGTTTTCACTTTAATAAATTCATCCTTAAAAAATATGGAAAAACCTTCAATCATAAAATTATGTGTAAGTTTGCGAACTCCATAAGGCTTGTCCTATTTTGTGGACACAACATAAAAATTTATATTTAGGTTCATTGAGGAATTTTGAATAAACGTAAATATTCGAAAATATTAAACAGCTGGGGTGAACAATGCGGCTCAGCAGAGCATTACTTTTTCCATAAGTTGATGGGCCGCAGAAAACCGCACGAATAGTATTTGGCAGCAATGGGCCATAACGTTTCGGTTTATTGGTTTCTTTTGCAGTCACTGAATCGAAATTAATGATGGGTAAGCCGTTGCCCTGTGAACTCAACTCCATCTCTGTACCAACTTAAGAAAATACGTATAAATTGAAGGTTTTATAGCAAAATGCGGTAGTTCGGTTTTAGATATGATTGTGCCCAGATCACGTAGTAGTAAAATGAGTAGACGGTTATTGAATAAAATCATCAACAACTTTCCCGTCGAATTGCATTTGTCAGGCTATCAATATTGTGGGCCAGACATAAAGTTGAGGGAACGAGTAATTATGTTCTCGGTGTCGTGGCATTTTTAACCTTCAATTCCATCCCAAACGATGATACGAGTAATAATATTGGGTCTATGACTTATTTTTTACAGATTTTTCAGCAAATTTATTCAATAGAAAAAATGGACAACAACGAACTTAATCTTGGGAAAATTGTCCATCATTTTCTACGATCTTGCGCAACCTCTCAGGTAACATATGAATACCTTCGCAAAAGAAACTTGCAGGCTTCGAGGCAATAAATTCATCGACGAATTTACGCACATCGTCCAGCGTTTTGAACTGTTTATCCACTAAGGGGTAACGCATTAACCGGTACAAGTGATAGTCGGATGGGGCCACGGCTGGTGAATATGCCGCGTGCGGGAGAGCTTCCCATCCCCGGTTCAAAAGGGTGTTCCGAGTCGCGCGAACAACGTGAGATCGAGCATTGTCATGCAGCAGTATGACTTGTCTACTTCATTGCCCAGTAAATGGCCTTTTCCGATCAAGATCTTTGCTCAGTTTGTTCCATTGTCGACTGTAGCGTTCCGCAGTCACCTGTAACGAGATTTTCTCGTTACGGTAAACTGTTTTATCAACACGAAAACCAATGAGTCAAGAATGGTTAGAGTGAGGGACAGAGAGAGTGAGAGAGCGACATTTAATGCCAGCTGAAGAAGTTGAGCGAGAGATGAGAGTGACATCGAACGGCGATTCAAGTGAGGTGCGCGTGAGGTGAATAGACCAATCAAATAATGCCAAGAGGCGTGGTTTGGGTGAAACCATGCTTCTGAACATTATAGAGAGGCTGTCGATACCCTGTCGCCTTATCTAGAAACTCGCCCAGCTGTGTTTGGGGGAAACGGGCCAACGTACTGGCGTTCCAACTGGGCGATTCTAGAGGCTAGGTGAGAGGACTAGCGCCCCCTGGATTGCCGTCGAGCTGATTGGTGGTGGTGGGGTAACGGATGACCCACCGTCGCTGAGATGTTCAGACTAGGGGGAGAAGGCCCTAGTAGATTTCGAGACAGTCGGTGACAGGCACTGGAGCCGAGGGGATGTAAATCGTCCGGTCCTCGACGACGGTTGTAAGTGGCATTAGTCCATTATGGATTATGGGGGTCCGTTGTGAGGACAAGGCCCGGAACAGCGAGAGAATGGGACGCTTCGGCGTCCCAAACAGAAGGATCGGATTACTTTGAGGACGTGGAGTGTTTTAATTCCATGTTCTCAGGGATCCATCACTTCGGACGAAAGAAGTGGTGTTGGCGTGGATCCGTGGGCCGGGAGTCAGGTCGACTCCTGGAGGCCCGATCGCACGTACCTCCACGACGAGTACTCTGGGTGTTGTCCCGCGGTGATAGTGCTTTTACCGAGCATTGAGGTTGAGTCGGGGTGGGCACAGGTGGGTGAGAACAAGTCTCCACATACCTGTGTCGCATGTGCCTCTCAGTGTTCGGCGCTCCGAGGAGTGAGAAGGATTCGCAAGTGATGGTCGACTTCTCCAGAGTTGAGCCACTCTGGAGAGGAAAGGAATACGTCAGAGGAATGGAAACATCCTCGGCGAAAGATACATGGAGGAATGGCTCGTGGAAGAGACGTTTAATCTTGACAATGACATTTGAAATTAGGAGCGATGGATGTTTGAGGAGTTTGATTGACCTACTCAGAGAGAAATGTGTGGAACAATGGATATTTATTGTGGAAAATACCGCCAAATAAAGCGTCCAACCCATTTTATATTCGATCTGCTATTTTTTCATGGCCACCCATTTTGTTGTCATCAAATTTCATTTATATGCGATTGCAATGTTCAATAATAAAAAATAATGGATTTTAGGATTTGTTAGAATGACGAAAAAAAAGTAAAAAAGAAAAAAATTCATTTTCTAATGATCTATTGCATATAAACTAAAACGGATACTTGGGTTTGTTCCTTGAAGTGTGACGAAAATTAAAAAAAAAAAAATTTTGAAATCGGTGGAGAACTACGGTCCAAGGAGCATTTTTAGTGTAAAAACGCGAAAAATGATTTTGTTGGTGGATGTACGGGGCAAAACGGGTCGGGTCCGATTTTTTTTAAACTTTTTTATATATCCCCTCATATACCAAAAGTCGTCCAATGGCTCCCGAGGCCGGGCCGTGACTTTCAAATTTCAGGGCCCTATCCCCTTAATTGAGCGATAGAGCAGATGCCCAAAATGGTTTTGGATATTTGCTGGTAGAGCACCGGCAAAAATTCTTCACAAAGTGGCGCCCGACGTGGGGCGCATACCCGGGATGAGAGTGACGGAGGCGAGCCCTACCGCAGCCGAGCTGCTGGCCAGGGTACAACGCCTCGACAGAAAGTTACGGGGCCGTATCGGACCTATGCCCGTAGCTCCTGAAGCGAGGGTTCCTCAGGAAGAATTCCGGAGGAGAACCCGAGAGGAAACCGCACGTCAACCCATCCCACCCAGGAGGTTGCCATTCGCGGAGGAGAGGCAATCCACCTCCCGAAGGAGGCATCATCGATCTTCCTCAGACGAGAGTAGCGAGTACGAATATTGACCTCGCAGAGAAAATTATCTCAACGCCCAGAAAGCTCTTGAAGCGTTGAAAAAGTGGGAAGTCGAATTCTCAGGACGACCCGACGAGGATGTGGAAGATTTTATATCCCGAGTAGATGACGCCATGAAGACACTCCGTATCCAAGAAACTGATCTTCTCGGAGTCCTGAGAGGTTGCCTAACGGGCAGTGCACTCACCTGGTATCGCCAGGTAGAGTTATATTCATGGGAGGATGCGTGCCACGCATTCAGAGAAAATTTTGGGGAGCTGGACTATCAAGTCGCGCTCCACGAAGAAATAGCAAGCCGTTGTCAAGGCGAGGATGAACCCGTGGCTCAATTCGTAGCCAACTTGAAGGGTATCTTTGCCAAGACTGACCCAGAATGGCCTGAGCACCAGAAGCTAACGTATATGTACCACAATACGTTACCTAAGTTTAGGATAGGTTTCAACCTGAGTGTGAACGCAACATTGAAGGCGTTAGAGAAGCACGCCATGCGACAAGAGACCTTGTACGCAAGTGCGAAAAAGTAACAGCCGCCAAGGCAGCCAGATGAATCCCTGTACCCCAGCAACGCCTATCGAAGTCCCAAGGCCCGAAGGATCACCCAGAGAGCAACCCTAAAGGCAACGATCCCAGCAGAAGAGGATGCAGAGCCTACAGAGAGAGATCACGAGGAAAGCATTTTCTTCGAGGAGTTGGAAGTGGCGCACGCCTTGCAAGGACGTGGTGCCTCTTCAGGGAGGGGTGGAGGTACTGGCTATGCCAGACCTGGCGCCAGTCGTCCAAACCCACAGGGCATCAAATGCTTCAATTGCGACCAGAGAGGACACTCCTGGCGCATCTGCACGGGCCCGAGGACAGTTTTTTGCTACGTATGTGGCAACAAGGACGTGCATTTCCCACAGTGCCTGAGATGCAATCCCGGAAGCGCTGAGCCGGCAGCGAAAATGACACACCGACGTCTACGCCGCCGCGAAACTCGGAAATCGCAGTCGCAAGGGAGATAATAATCCCAGAGACTGAGGATTCCGTCTCGGAAGCCAGGACGGAAACAATCTCAGCGGACAGTGACGGCACTGGGGTTGAAAGAACTGGAGAGAGGGAAGAAAGAAGCCCCGATACAGTGACGCAAGAATCCGGAGATGGAAATAGGATTGATACCCTCACTCTAGAATCCATGATGGATCCCTTGAAATTAGTTTCCCCAGAAATGGACCCTAATTTGGAGTTCGTGAGGCAGGCAATGAAAGAAGGCAAAACATTTGCTTTTCACGTGGATATTGAAATCCACGGAAGAAAGATCCGCGGTCTAATCGACTCGGGAGTGTCTCGCACTTTTGCAGGAGAGGCGGGGATAGAGCTGATGAGCGAACTAGGCATTAGCGCGAAAAGAATTCCACCTAGAAGAGTTCTAGTGGCGAATAGCCAACTGGAAGTGGTGAAAGAAGCCTCCAAAACCCCTCTGGTATTATGAGGAAGAGCAGTCACAGTGGAAACACTTTGGATGGGCTCGCTATCTGAAGATTTCATACTGGGATTAGACTTTCTGAAAGAAGCTCGAATGGTCATAGATTTCTTTGATCAGTTCTGGTTCTTCAGAGATAACCCTGAAGAGTCTTTCAAGTTTGCAGCAGTCGAGAGGGCCTGACATATAATAGTGTGCAATGGTCTAAAGACGCCTGGAGAAGGGCAACAGAGCCAACTCCAACAGCTTCTGGATGAAAAGATTCCAGTGATAGAAGGAAGTCCCCCGAGTTCCAAACTAGCACCCCACAAAATCGTTGATGAAAGCCACGAGCCGATTCGACAAAGGGTCAGATTAGCCTCCCATCATTTAAAATTAACGATGTGGAAAGAAGTCGATGATATGCTAAATGACGGCATCATCAAACCATCAGCAAGCGACTGGAACAGCCCGGCCGTCATGGTGGACAAACCCAGCAGGAAGTATCGATTTTGTATCGACTTCCGTCGGGTGAATGAGGTCACGAAAAAGGATGCATATCTGGTAGCAAACATGACCGGCATCCTTAACGAGTTAAGACAAGCCAAATATATCTCGACGCTCGATCTGAGCGCGGCGTATTGGCAGATTCCGTTAGCAGAGGACTCGAAAGAGATCACTGCTTTTACGGTGCCTGGAAGAGGGTTCTTTCAGTTCGAACGCATGCCATATGGCTCGACGAACGCCCCTGCAACCTTCCAGAGAGCCCTGGATAAGATCATTGGTCCAGAAATGTACCCCCACGTCTTCGTGAACTTGGACGATATTATTATCGTGTCCAGTACATTTGAGGAAAACCTAAAGTGGCTGGGAAAAGTGGTCGATAAATTGAGAGACCACGGTTTAAGCATAAATCGTGAAAAGAGCGTGTTCTGTCGGTCCGAGGTAAAATACCTCGGATTCGTAGTGAACAGCGAAGAATTGCAAGTCGACCCAGACAAAATATCGGCAGTCGTAGAATTCCCAGTACCTAAGATACCTAAGTACCAGTACATCGAAAGGGCGCATCACATCACGTGCCTGACGCGTTATACCGCGCTCCGGAAGGGGCGACAGATCTACTAACAACCGCGCTAGATACCAAAGATAAATGGTATCTCTGCCGCTGTCGAGACGTAGAGAGAATACCAGAGAAATAACATACGTGGAAAATCTCTGAAGGATTATTATACCACCTCAAACCGAAAACTTTCGCTTCGGTAGACAATGAGGATTAGGACGAGTGGAAATTAGCTCTCCCTCGAGAGTTACGCCGTGGAGCCATTGAAGAATGTCACGATTTGCCGCAAGCCGGAAACCAAGGTGTCGATAAGACGTGCCAACGCTTGGCCACACAATATTATTGGCCAGCGATGTTTGAAGACGTGATGGGCTATGTAGGTTCGTGTCACGAATATCAGCGCTGCAAAGTGCAGCAACAATCGCCGATAGGATAAATGGGAACTCGAGCAATCGAGAAACCATGGTCCAGAATATTGGCGGACATAATGGGACCATTTACGCGAAGTAAAGCAGGCCATCAGCACATTCTGGTGATCCAAGACTTCTTCACGAAGTGAATAGAAATTCGTCCTTTGCGTAAAGCTACGGGAGCGACGATACGGAAAGCACTTGAGGAGACCATCATCTATCGATGGGGAGCTCCTAGAGAATTACTAACTGATAATGGAACCGAGTTCGTAAGTAAGGACTTGAAAGAGCTCGCTGCTTCAACCAACATGAAGCATCGAACGACGCCCCCATATCACCCACAAGCGAACCCCACCGAGAGAGTGAACCGTTTGCTTAAGGCGATGATAAGAGTGTATGTGGAAGCAGACCACCGTGATTGGGATTGCCATTTGGATGCATTTAGATTTGCATACAATACAGCCCAACACAGTTCTCTGAAAGCCACACCTGCATTAGTAAACTTTGGTCGAGAACCAGAGCCCGTAAACTCACTGCGACGAAAGATAGAAGACGACGTGTAAGTCGAAGAGACACCTACAGCCTCGTGAGTCGAACGTATGAAACGCCATGACACATTGAGGCTAGCGTTCAGACATGCGTTAGCCGAAGCTAATGATAGACAGGCACAAGCCTATAACTTGCGCCGAAGAGCCGGTGAATACGAGGTCGGTGAACTAGTCTTAGTTCGCAACCACGAACTGTCCAATGCTGCCAGGCATCGCTCAGCGTCATTGAATAAACCATTCAATGGACCCTTCGTAGTCACCAAGAAGCATTCCAGAAACTTCTACGAAGTTTCTGACTTAGCTGGTCGTAATCCAAAAGGCACCCCAATAGTGGACATGAAGCCCTATAAGGAAGCCAAGGACGACCTACCGACGGAAGAGTCGGAAAATGAGTTACCCCAGGAGATTTCGGCTTGAAGTATAAATGTTGGAAATCCTGTCAGCTGACAGGTCCCTCACACTAACGCACGCAAGGCTCATCCATTCTCTCCCCACTCACGTACACCTGACGCACTCACCTCAGATGACTGGGGGTTATTAATTCCAGCACCTGAGGCGCCACTTCCTGGACCGCTCTAAATTACCATATGATCTATATTAAATTAGGTC